TCAGCCGCTTACAACTTGTTATATTTATAAATCATAATTAGATAATGAGTTTAAATGACTTACATGAGAGTGTTTTGTTAGAAGTTATATAGAAGACATATTCGTATAGTGTAGCAAGGGTGTAAATGAAATTAATAGACTGAATATTGTGAATATATACCTAATGTGAAAGAATATTCTACATCATTAATTGTGACAACAGTTCAAAAAGGGGGTTAGAAACAATTGATTACATAATGAGTGAAAATTTTGATAGGAATATAGTGAGTAGAGTTCAGTTAAAAGATTATTAATTTGAAACGTAGTTGAAGCAATAAAAATAATGAAAATCAATGATGTAATAAGTACAAAAATAATAATAATTTATGGTGCAGCGAAGGAATATTTGTCACCAAGGCAAAGAAAGATTAACAACCATCTCCTTTTGAACACATAGGTCAGGTTTTTGACGCCTGATGGCAACGGCTTCAGAAGACTGGAGTTTGGCTGCTTGCTAATCACCTTGAAGGATTGTCCTGTATCAAGGAGTTGTTTGGTGATTGCACTATTCAGAGTCCTTCTTTCCCTTGTTCTAAGACTTTTTGGAACATGTTCAAAAAATCTAAGGTATTCTCTCCTTTCTGTTCGGCCAATGTAGCTGCTTTGGCAGGTACACGTAAATTTATAAATACAGTTGGCAGTAACATGAAAGGGGTGCTTGTCGACCTTTGATTGAGTTATTGAACATGTTGTTTTATAGAAAATTAGAAGTTTAGCAGCCGGATAAGTTCTGGCAAGCGCAATATTCAGTCTCCTACTGATTATTTGTGCGACGTTATCACCTTTAAAGTTAAGATTTATAGACACTGTCTTTTTATTGACCGTAGTTATTTCCCTCTTGTTTTCTTTGGGCTTTTTATGTTTGTCAATAAACTTTTGTGGATAGAAGTTGTTTCCTAGACATTTTTCTAGGTTCATTAATTCTTCTTCAAGTTTGTCGGTGGTACATATCTTTTCTACCCTGTCAAATAGTGTTTTAACCAGTGCCTTCTTGTAACTAATTGGACAAAAACTATTGAAATTCAGATAGAGGCCATTCCAATTGTTTTCTCTATAAACTGAACGTTGTACTGTCCCGTCTTTCCTACGTTTTATTGCAACATCAAGGAAGTGGAACATGTCGTTCTGTTCGTGCTCCATAGTGAAGTGAATGTTAGGATGAGCGTTATTGAAGAGTTCTAGCAGGCGGATTGCATGCTGTTTATAATTAAAGACAATAAATGTGTCATCCACATATCTGTAGTATTCCGTCGTTTCACTAATCGCCTGTTTAAGTACCGTGTTTTCAAGATACCCCATAAAAATATCTGCCAGAACTGGACCTAGTGGACTCCCCATTGCTACGCCATCGATTTGGCGATATATTGTTATTAAACTTATTATCTAATTATGATTTATAAATATAACAGGTTGTAAGCAGCTGATGAGAACCTACAAAATAAAATGAATTCATGCTATTCTGCGTAAATCTTTGTTCTTGCTCTTTTCAAAATGATAAAGGGAACTATGTGTATGAAATTTCTCAAAAAACGCTTCCCTGAACAGTTATTAAAGTCACTTAATCACTTTGTGACAGTACGCTGCAGAATATCAAGAGAAATGACAAGGGTCAAGTTTTATGGAGAATGTCTCACGTCGGGCTATTTCCCACGGCAGTTTGTAAAATCTTTACGTTCATGTAAACTTCCACCATCGCTTAAAAACCTAAGACGCATTACCAAATCTCATATTGAATCGACAAAATTACTCATTACACAACTAAGGACTGAGGCCAGTGCTTTTGATAAAGCCGTTAATGATTTAAACATCGTATGTCGAATAAAATTCATTCGTGATCTTGAAATCAAGGTTTGCAAGGATTTCCATAAATTTCTATCGAAAACTCTGTTAAGAGAACAACTATGTTTAGGGTTTCCGGAAAACCCTTCGAAGTTTATCTATAATTTATCAAATACGAAGCTCAATAGTATAGAAACAGAAGCCTTATCACTTGGACTCAGATTTCATATACCAAGAACAAATACGGACAGGATTGATACAGAAGCTCAATTTGAAAAGCTGTTTGACCAGTTAAAAGATTTGCAACCAATGAATGAGGAAAAGAAAGGATGGTTCAAATCAAAGTTAGCTGATATTGCCAACCAATACTTCGTGTCATCGACACCAAAGTCGAATATTCTATCCAAAGAACATCTAACAGCCCTAAGAAACACCAAACAAAATAATGAGGTGATGATTCTACGACCGGATAAAGGTTCAGGTGTAGTCCTAATGGATACAGCTGATTATGTAACTAAGATGAAGTCAATCCTAGACGATCAACTGAGGTTCAAGGTAGATAAATCCAAAAAAGATTTGACTGATTCAACAGAAAAACAAATCACAGGAATGCTCAGAGAACTTCTAAAAAAGAAAATGATTGATAATTCTACTTACAACGATCTAAGACCACGTGGTTCACATCTACCTCATATTTATGGTTTACCAAAAGTTCACAAACATGACGTTCCCTCAGACCTATCCTATCAATGATCAACTCACCGTATCATAAAGTTGCACGCTGGTTAGCAGTAAAACTAGAACCGGTTCGTCGGAGATTAGCTACATACACGTTAAGAGATTCATTCCAGTTTGCTGATAGATTAAATCATACGAATGTTGCCAATAAGTTCATGGTTACTTTTGATGTAACATCTTTGTTCACCAATATACCACTTTTTGAAACTATTGGTATAATTTGTCAGAATGATGATCTCCTACCTTTACCAACCCCGGAATTCAAAAAACTACTACTAATGTGCACAACTGATGTTCAGTTCCAATTTATTAACACCATATATCGCCAAATCGATGGCGTAGCAATGGGGAGTCCACTAGGTCCAGTTCTGGCAGATATTTTTATGGGGTATCTTGAAAACACGGTACTTAAACAGGCGATTAGTGAAACGACGGAATACTACAGATATGTGGATGACACATTTATTGTCTTTAATTATAAACAGCATGCAATCCGCCTGCTAGAACTCTTCAATAACGCTCATCCTAACATTCACTTCACTATGGAGCACGAACAGAACGACATGTTCCACTTCCTTGATGTTGCAATAAAACGTAGGAAAGACGGGACAGTACAACGTTCAGTTTATAGAGAAAACAATTGGAATGGCCTCTATCTGAATTTCAATAGTTTTTGTCCAATTAGTTACAAGAAGGCACTGGTTAAAACACTATTTGACAGGGTAGAAAAGATATGTACCACCGACAAACTTGAAGAAGAATTAATGAACCTAGAAAAATGTCTAGGAAACAACTTCTATCCACAAAAGTTTATTGACAAACATAAAAAGCCCAAAGAAAACAAGAGGGAAATAACTACGGTCAATAAAAAGACAGTGTCTATAAATCTTAACTTTAAAGGTGATAACGTCGCACAAATAATCAGTAGGAGACTGAATATTGCGCTTGCCAGAACTTATCCGGCTGCTAAACTTCTAATTTTCTATAAAACAACATGTTCAATAACTCAATCAAAGGTCGACAAGCACCCCTTTCATGTTACTGCCAACTGTATTTATAAATTTACGTGTACCTGCCAAAGCAGCTACATTGGCCGAACAGAAAGGAGAGAATACCTTAGATTTTTTGAACATGTTCCAAAAAGTCTTAGAACAAGGGAAAGAAGGACTCTGAATAGTGCAATCACCAAACAACTCCTTGATACAGGACAATCCTTCAAGGTGATTAGCAAGCAGCCAAACTCCAGTCTTCTGAAGCCGTTGCCATCAGGCGTCAAAAACCTGACCTATGTGTTCAAAAGGAGATGGTTGTTAATCTTTCTTTGCCTTGGTGACAAATATTCCTTCGCTGCACCATAAATTATTATTATTTTTGTACTTATTACATCATTGATTTTCATTATTTTTATTGCTTCAACTACGTTTCAAATTAATAATCTTTTAACTGAACTCTACTCACTATATTCCTATCAAAATTTTCACTCATTATGTAATCAATTGTTTCTAACCCCCTTTTTGAACTGTTGTCACAATTAATGATGTAGAATATTCTTTCACATTAGGTATATATTCACAATATTCAGTCTATTAATTTCATTTACACCCTTGCTACACTATACGAATATGTCTTCTATATAACTTCTAACAAAACACTCTCATGTAAGTCATTTAAACTCATTATCTAATTATGATTTATAAATATAACAAGTTGTAAGCGGCTGATGAGAACCTACGAAATAAAATAAATTCAAGCTATTCTGCTAAAATCTTTGTTCTTGCTCTTTTCAAAATGATAAAGGGAACTATGTGTATGAAATAAAATAATCGTGAGTCCTAATAAAAATCTATTCTGAATAAACTTTAAGTTTTCATTCTGCTAGCAAGGTATGAAGACATGTTAAGGACTATCGATTATGATTACCAATATTTATATATGCACCAGACACTGAGAAAACAAGAAAAAGACCTTAGGTTTTCATAAAGTGAACATGGTAGAAACTAAAACGAGTAAGCAGTCATACAGAGAATCTCCAAAGTGATATGACACCTAAGCGCATAATTTTGCGCATTATACTCACTTAGAACACTTCGAATGGATATAATTAACTTGACCAGTATCCCAGATAGATGTTAGTTGTAGACACACTACTCAGGGATTAAACTAGAATTGTACAAAGGTCTTCGGCCAAATTGTGAATGCCAACATATTAGCAGTTAGCTCAAAAATCATTTTAAGCAGAACACCAGAATATGTATTTACAAGAATCTTAGTTCTCCACATAATGACAATGTTGGGAGATACAATGTCCCGGACCAAAAAAATACATTCTGAGTTGTCAATAATAGAATACACAATCAGGTATGAATGTTCATTGTAAATACAAAAAAAAAACAATAAGGCAAATGGATGCTTGAAAAAGGAACCTAAAAGCATACGTCAAATATTCAAGAACACGCTGCTGACCGAACTTTGATGAACTCTTGAATTTTAGCATCCAGTACGTCTGAAATAGATTTATGTGCCTGTGTTTTTTCCTCCAGAACAGGCAAAATCTTCCTTATTTGTTTATTGATATATTCTACTCGACGGGAGAAGTGACTTTCAGCTTCTGGAACGGTCTGCAAAAGTTATGTAATGTTTCGTTTATAGATTCAACAAACCATTTCAACATAGTACCCAGTACCAATGTCCACAAGCACATGTGAAGCATCAGAAATTTTCCCAGGAACACACAAGGTTGAAGTTAAAGGGACAAGAATATCTTTGTTTTCTTTTTCTGGGGTTAGCTCGCCCAGACAACTTTTGGAGGCAACGAACTGAGCCTGCAGAGACTTGAGCTGTTGTATGGAAGCAGATATAAACTGAATTTTTTGTTCAAATTGCCGTGCGAGATCTTGAAGTTGTGGGATAGTTAGCTCTTTAATACTAACAGTTCCAGACGTCATCCCAAGGACGGTAGCGTAATTTTCAAAGTTCGTATCAGTATCATCTTGAAATCCAATAACAACACCAAACTTGATTGAAAGCATCAGTATACCATTCATTCTTCACAATCTTTGTCTGAGTAGTTACTGTCATTTTTGAGGACTTGAGAGTTACACGATCAAGTTAACATTTTGAGTAATTCTTCTTACAAAAAATAAACTTAAAGTATAGGTCGAAACCTCCAAAATATTCAACAGAGTGTATCATCAGTAAAGCTTATAGTATGTAGTTTCACAGGCTAATGGTTCAAACCATGAAAACATTTTGTATGATGAATTGAAGTCCTCTCGACTGATTTTTTTCTACATGAAACTTATCAGTATTAAACGGGCTTTGTTACTAATTCCCATAATTCAACTACAGTTTCAGGCAGGGAAGGAAATATTAGTGAAATATAGTGAAGTAGTATTCTGAGTACTTAAGATTGAGTGGAAAGTAATAAATCTGCGACATGTTACAGAACACAACTACAACTTATGCAACTCTCCTCTAGGAACATACCAAGTTGAAAAAGATATGGGAGTCTTAGTATTCTACGATTCGAAATCTAAGAACAAATGCGACAAAATTTCCTCCAGAGAAAACCTCACACTAGTAACATTTGAGCGCATTTTCGACCAGTTTGATGGAAAAACTTTCCACATAATCTCCAAAAGTTTTAATAGCCCCCATTCAGAGTACGAAAACATGGCATTTCACACTCACTCCAAAAGAATAAGGACATTCTGGGAAATACCCAACAGCGAGCCACGAAATCAGTTGGGGGACTGAAATTCAAGCCTTATGAATAGAGCCTTCCATCACTGGACTTTTACCTACTAGAGTACAGGCGTTTTAGACGGGGCTTTCTAACAGCTTACTTCATCCTAAACACTTACGGATATCCTCTTAAACACCTACCTAAGCTTAGTCCAAACGAAACCCGAAGGAAAACATCCAGAAACTGGAGACGACACAGAATAACACTGTAGACATACCTACTACTCCTTAAGAGCAGTCAAATGCTGGAATTCGCTGTCGGCTGAGCTATACGAAGCGAATTCCCAGGAGTCCTTTAGGAAAGAACTTGATATATTCTTAAAGATTAATGATAGCATCTTACTATGATTTGCCAGTTTGGTCTTCTTTTTCCTCTTTAATCGACAATATTACCTGGGTTCCTACCTAAAGATGTTGGTCATTCACTGCTACTAGACACGAAGTCCTTTAAATACAAGTTTCTTCAGTTCCTTTCAAAACCATTCGAAACATTTAGGCTAATTTTTTCGGAGGACTCTTGGTACGTAATTTGACCACCTCTTTCGGCAGTCAAGTCTACAATATAACTACACGTAAATAATAAATGACTTTTCCTCAGCCTGTTAATTTTTCGTTGCGCTCATTACCTCCGAAGGGAGTCCCGAAGAACTGTATCGAGGTTGAGCTGCATCATACATTTAGGGGCACACACAGGTATATCGATGACGTTATTGGTTATTAGTTATCCACCTCTGAGTAGCCTGAGCTTTAATAATTGGGCTGAATGATTTAAGAATTTTAGATAAAATCATTAATTTGGATGCTTAAAATTATTTCTAGACTCACCTTTGTAGTACTGTTATATTTTCAAAGTAGTGGAGGGAATACTATATTCCCAAAAATCGACAGTGGCTAAAAACAGGAATTAAAGACCAAATGGAGAAAAAATACAATCAAACTAGCCAAAAGCTAGTTTCTACGCTACTAAAGCACGGACCGCTCTGTTTTCAATTTTAAAATTAGAATTTATATACAAAAATGACACTGAATTAGGTCTCAATGTTGTTTGTGAGCTAAATATTTCGACATCAGCTCAGTTCCATCGCTTTCAGTGTCCTTAACAATAGTTGTTTTTCTACAGATTCCACCATTCATTCACATCGATTAAGTTGGGTCTGCTTCTCGTGGACACTCAAAATCTGTCTTGACAGTACCCCTCTAGGTTGTGCCAATTTTCTTACTGTGCTTTTCATCAGTTAAATCAGTTATGACGAGAGAATAGTACTAGAGTAGGATCTTTTTATTTATCAGGATTAAAGACTTCAGGTACATAATTAGGGACAAACCAAGTTTTCATCATAACATGTGATCCCAGTCCGCAACGGTTACATCGGTCTGCATTTTTTTGACAAACTGAATTGTTCCATCACGTTAGTGTTCTTGGAAAGAGTCTTCAAGTTGTCTATAAGGTAAACCTACCTGAAAAGACCGCCAAATACTATTTGTGCTGCATCATGAGAATTCTGGATGTCTGGTTCTGTGAGACGAAATTTTCCGAGTAGAGTAAGTATAGTAAACCTTACCATCCACAAACTTAGATTATTCAAAACGATACCTTTGAAGATTTACGTAGGATAGTAATTCATTCTTATTCATTTTGAAAGCCATTTTTTCTAGAGGAAATCGCTAATTCAGAGCACTTTGTTTATTACTCGTCTAGTCATAAGAATTTTGAGCTATAAACCTCTTTCTTGCATTATTGAGACCGGTTAGTTTGAGAAGAATAAAAGCTTGAATAAGTTTATGTTACTAAGTCGTTGGGTAGTGTTGTATAGTTTCCTATATCTAATACTAACAATGAATTGATTGTAATGTAAAATATCAGTATCAAGTTCAGTATTATTCATCTAAACTATTTAAATTGTCGGAAGACATTCTATTTCTACCGTTGTTCCATTGACATTAATTTGTGAATTCAGATTATTTGTAAAACATGTGGACTTACACAATTATAACCTTTCTATCCATGAATAAAACGAATGTTTACGAAATTCAAAAGAGTGAATAAATTCTCATATTTTTAAAATTTATGTACTTTCGAATTTGTAAATATTCATAATATCATTACCGATAATGACAATATTATTAGTGATATGTTTTAGGTCCTTTACTTCATTTGGTAAACTGCAGTTGTGTTCAGATAGGACTTCAGTATCATATACGTCATGTCATCCCATGGTTCCGCGAATTGCTCAGTTACCGCTAACTTCCTGTCAAATTCATCACTAAAGCGTTAGCTATTCTGTCATCAGGACGAAGATGTTCACACAATTCTTACATAACACTAAAAGTTAAAATTCCAAGACTCTTAGTATTCCTGTTAACTTCTCCACAATTTTAATTTAACGCTGCCTTTAAATGTGCAAGTCCTTTAAGTGGCTGACTGGATGCATAACAGTACACCTTTAAGAGAGCGTATTTAAAAGAGTAATCTAGGTTTATGTAGATGTTATGAAATAAAGTGGTTGATTCGGTTTAGACCAAGATATTCTCCTAGCTACAAAACTAAAACATTTCTTAATAATTCACTTCACAAATACTTTAATTGTGTCATCAATTGTTTTCTTAATCCTTTTTTCATTCAGCTATATTTTATGTTATCCAATTTTAATTTATGCTTCCACTAATCCCCAATTTTCACCAACTCAATCGATAAACTCATGTAAACTCTGTAAATGTTGGACAATTATTTGTCAACTTATTTTGTGGAATTCCAAAATCTAGATAATCACTATTTCACCGCTGTGTTTCTGTTACATGTGAATCTTATTAATAGATCACGCAAAGGTATTAAAAGTATTGCAGAAATTTAAATTTTGTATTTAATTTAAACTTCACGATCAGTACAAAGAAAACCCTTTTCTGTAATGTTACAGATGATAATTTTCTTTGAGATCTGTTCCACAGAATTAATATTAAAGAGCATAAAATGTGAACGTCCAGTATGTTTCATTTTCTTGCCAATAGGTTATTTCCAAGATAACGGAAAAAGCAGAATTTTCCTCTCTAATGTACTCGAATCCCATCTATCTCTTATAATTCAACGATTCAAGCAGAACTTAAATGTGGTTGAAAATAATTTGAACTGTTGTGTACTACTGATTAGTGTAATATAACATATCAAAAGGAAAAGTGAAAAATGAAGTTACACAGTATAATGAAGATCCCATAGTCTCCATTGAATGGTTAACAGCTGAATTTTCATAATTTCGTGGCGAAACCAGTGAAATCAAACAAAAAACAACCTATCAATTCAGCTCAGTGACCTTGTTCTACCAAATATCATAGTAATGTTAAACATCCACCAACGTTTAAGATAGTCGATTATGCCTATCATTACAAAGTGTCATTATATTCAGATCAACAATACTTTTTTAAATATAATCCTGCGTAATTGGTGATAAATATTGTATTCGGTAATAAAACAGTAATGAAAAAGGTTTGTTTTATGTACGAATTTACTTGATCAGACGTTCAATAAACTTAGACAAAATCGGAAATTGTGCTACTACTCAAATTTCGGTTGGATCTTATCGGCCCCCATTGTTTGAGGATTGAATAGACAATGGTCCGTTTGTACTAATTTGGAGGTTGCCGGGATTTTGATGGATGTATTAAAAGCATGCACATCTTCATATATATGGTCTGTGCACACTGATTCAAGACTATGGGATGAATAATTCCAGTTTAGTAACTTGTCTAACATCAAGGACTTCAGTTTTTTGAATGTAGTTCTAGGAGAGAAGTGAATCTTCACTAAACCTTCAGTTGCTGCTGTGGTGGTGGTACTTTTCTCTTGTGTAAATATATGATTCCGCTTAACAGAATAAACATTCAAAATTTCTGCCGTTTCTAATTTGGTGTGATCTTCCAAGTCATACTGACGAGTGCACGACAAGATGATAGTCTTTGGTGGAAAGGATAAAAGGTCAAATGACCTTTATTAATCCGTAAGATTATTATCACAATTAAAATCCCCATCAGCTCTGGATGTACAAACGAGTTTATATTATGCTGTTGTAGGGAACTAGAGTAACTTACGAGCCAATGAAAAAAAATTAAACACAAACGATGACATTTGGTTTATGCGTTATTCTCTTAAATGATCAGTCTTCGGTGGGTACCAAAATCATCGTCGAGTATATGGTAAGCCAATATTAGATCACGTCGAATAACTATAAACTCACCAAATATGCCACGGTGAAATCAGTTAGTAGCTGCATTCTAACGGAAAATATACATCTACTATCATAACTAAAACCATGAGCACAACACGTGGAGGCACAATTCAAATGTCCTTCAACTACTCCAAAGTTCATTTGACATCATGCTTCCAACCATCGACGAAGTTGATAAGCCATGAATAACTAAACAAGTCATATAGTACACTAATTTCATGTGACTTTTTACAATGAAATTGTTCCCCACTTTACAGAAAATAGTAATTTTTAATCAAAATGAAGTTGAAGTATGACAAGAAATTTAGAAATCAGTTAGTTTCCATCTCATCTTCATTAGACTGACGTAGAAGTTTATGAAATCGGTGATATACTGAAGAACAATCATGTAATTGTGCAATCAACTGCTTGCGTTTTGAAACATCAACATGTTCCTCATCACTCACTTCGCGTTTTTGACGTCTTTCAGCATCTGTATCTTGTACATCCTGGTTAAATAACGTAAAAAAAACAATAAAACGAATGATGATTACGAAAATATTGTAGGGACTTAGCGTAGAATCAAATACCAAAAATGAGATACTCTTAAATATCTGGATCAAACACTTTGATGAAAAACGTCTAGTTTAACAACATTACTAGGATTAATCCTTGATCTACTACTAAGGAACAATAAAAAATCACAGGGCATGTTTATCATATAAATACTACTCAACATCCAAGACCAAACGGCACATTATTTGGAAACCTGAGAGAATCCAATGATATGGCTAAATATCAGAACCAACATTATTCAAACCAGTGGAAACGGATAAATATTCTCCCTCATTGCGTACTAAACTACTGTTAATCCAATTTATGGTTGCATTATATGGTTGTTATAAACTCTATAACGGTACAGACTCTTAGGAAATATAAATCACAGAAATGTAGTGTACAGAAATTACGATGTAGTGAACTGTACTTGTGATATATATATCGTGTACATTTTTACACACTCCAAGAAACTAAATTATTATTCCAGGAAAATGGTGCTTGATATTCAAAATGATGATTTTATGCTATACAATATTATAATCCGTTTTTATTATCATCAATTTTTATTACAATTTCACTCCTAAACAGAAAAACATCTAAATAGATCCTCTCATTCGCGTGATTAAATTTAATGAAAACTTTGATAAGACAATATTAAAGGGTGAGAAAACTAGTTTCGATGACGTGTATAACAGTAAACGCACATACAATGAGGGCAGTAACTTTGTGGAGAAAAGTTTAATCAACCTTATTTGGCTTTATAAGAATAGTGAAACTTAAAAAACACCATATTCACCTCTTCAGAAGCACAATACGTATTCCCACAGAGCTGATTTAGATGATGTACTGTGAAAACGTCATAATTGCAAGTCCAAGTTAACATATCGTTAAACAAAGAAATTCTCAGTCACTTACCTTTATCAAATTTGTATTCAAGCTCGGTGTACAGACTGAATTATTTTCTGTTGTTTTATAAGCCGTTACTAGTTTACCTTTAGAATCATTTGCTGTTTTAGGAAGACCTACAAGTTCCAGTCGTATATTTAATCCATGAGCAATAGTCTCACTGACATAAATTTTTAATAAGACATGATCGAACATACGATACTGTTGACATTCATTAGTTTTGGAGTTGCGGATTTCCAAAACCCCACAATCTGATTGTTCGGATGAATGAACACGTTCAATCTGAAAATTGAATATCATGAGAAACTTGGATATCTCCGAAAGAAAGAAATTATTCTGATAATTTTAAAATAAAACATGTAACAACAAATTATATGTCGGTATAGAAGTCTGATAGACTTTGGTCAGTCAGTCAGTCAGCTGCAACGTAGGACCAGGCACGTATATGCATCGGTCCAAGTTGCCATACCGCATTAGCACAACAAGATGAACACCGGATTCATAGGAGTAGTTAATTCAGTGGTGGTAATATATAGAAGAAAGAGTGTGTATAAGGAGATAGTAAAGGAAGAAAGAATTAGTTCTTAGACAGATATGAAGCGATTTTAATCTCTTAATTTAAGGAAGACAGAGAGTGTATACACCGACGCCATTGTGATCGATTCTGAGCCATGTCACCAAGAGTCTCCAACCATTGGTTACGATAGTCACGCGGACCCCAACCAGGCAGTCTAAATCTCCCAACATGGCTCAGACCAGAAGTTAGTGACTTCAAGCACTGATGCCACGTTTTGGTTTGGCCGCCCCTAACTTTCTTCCAATTATCCCCTGCACTAGTCAGCATTGCGCGTCGTGGTAATCGGTGTTCAGGCATACGCAACACGTGGCCCAACCATCTCAGTCGATGAAGATTCATAACCTCATCAACTGATTTACCATCATTCCCTAATACTCTGCGTCTAACCTCACTATTACTTACCCGGTGATCCCAGCAGATACCCGCAATATTTCTAAGGCACCTGTGGTCAAATACTAGTAACTTACGAATATCTTCCACTCTTAAAGGCCATGTTTCGCAGCCGTATAGAAGGACGGAACGAACTGCCGCGCAGTATACTCGTCCCTTAATTGATAGACGGATATCTCGCCTTCGCCATAGGTGACGTAAGTTGGCAAAGGCCAAGCGAGCTTTTCGAATCCGTGCTGAGATTTCGTCAGACACCAACCCATTAGGGCTGATCAGACTTCCAAGATAAGTGAAGTTGTCAACGCGTTCGACTACTTCACCTCCTATCCTTAGTTCAGGTGTTGATGCAGACCAGTCCTGAAGCAACAACTTGCATTTAGGGGGAGAAAAACGCATCCCAAACATTCTAGCATTGTTGCTCAGTGCTACCAAAAGACTCTGCATTTCATCAGCGTCTTCACCAAACAGGACTATGTCATCTGCGTATTCTAAGTCAATAAGTGGACCTCCTGGTAGGAGATCAATACCCGAGAAGTCAGTCGATGAGAGCGTTATTTCCATCAGGATGTCTATGATAAAGTTAAACAAAAAAGGAGAAAGTGGACAGCCTTGACGGACGCCACTTGAGGTTGCAAAAGCAGATGACAGTTCGCCATAGGCTCTGACTCGACTAGTAGTGTTCGAGTAAAGAGCCTTCACAAGGTTTATGTACTTCTGAGGTACGCCTTTCAATGACAGACACTGCCACAGAACCTCTCGGTCAACAGAGTCAAACGCTGTTTTTAAGTCAAGGAATACCACCATTGTCGGACGCCGATAAGTATGCCTGTGTTCTAGAACCTGACGAATGGTGAATATGTGGTCGATGCAGCCACGACCAGGTCTGAAGACAGCCTGATTTTCACGTGTTTGCAGTTCACGAGTCTTAGTTAGGCGTCCGATAATTATCGAAGCTAGTATTTTAGATACTATATTAGTCAAACTAATCCCTCTATGGTTGTCACAGGATGATTTTGACCCTTTCTTATATATTGGGACGATAAGTGATTGTGACCAGTCAGAGGGGATAACGTCTAACTCCCAGATTTTAGCTAAAATATTAGTCAACCTAATCGCTAAGACTAGACCACCATCCTTAAAGACCTCTGGCATAAAATTACTAATCCGATTAATAATTAAAGATGATTGGTTTATACTGACATTATGACCGGTTTGAACTAGATGAACTGGTATTGAGCAGTTTACTATTTTTATTACATTTTTGTTTGATCATGCTTAGTGTTCACAAGCAAAGATGCATTAATTCTCAGAACTTCAGTAATTAATTTATTTCACATGAGCAGTTAAGTTCATTAATAAGAAGTGGTGTCTAATTTTTCAGTCTTGATAATACTATTGGAAGCATGGAAAACAGTCATAATTTATATCATTAATGTGTTCTGAACTGTTCTTCATAATATCTGGATTAATGTTACACTGGCTGAATTGCCTCTGAATTGTACAAGCATACAAAATCACATAAAAATATTAATATTCTGAGTTAAAAAAGACCTTTCTCTATTGGAAAGAGAAAATGATTGAACTCTGTCGAAATACATATTACATGTACAACGAAGGATAACCGAAAGACAGTTTTGCTTTTGTACTAGGAATAATTCAGTATAAGAAGATAATTTGGATATCAATTCGTAAGCATATAAAACTCATTTCTACTAAAAAATAAATTTGAAAAGACTTGAATTTACATCACGTGCTTAGTATTGCTTCATTTTCCAAAAGAGGTTTAATAACAAAGGGTGCAATGTCAAATAAGAAAATTTATAAGTAGTTGTATTCCAAATTTATATAACATTGAAAGTTTATGTGAGTGAAAATGCAATGATAAAAGCATTTCATACCACTATGTTTTGGACATCTTGTAACCAATGAATGCTACCAGTATCGGATGTTGTATAATCGACCCATGCTATGTGACCATTCGCGTTTTTTATGCAGACTGCACCTCTAATACCGTATCTGGAAAAGTAACAAAGTAATATATATATATATATATATATATATATATATATATATATCAGAATGAAAAATAAATGAATAGCAACTTCGAGGAATTATTTATGGACTATTATTACATTTATTCTCAACGATAACTATTAAGTAACTAAATTATACGTATATTCATATTCCTTTTGTCTCAACCTTTCATTTGACCTATTGACTACTATTATACGACTTATTATTCTCAAGTCATTCTCAACTTTCAGTGTGTGGTTGTGGAGATGGTTAAATTTTTGATTGAGATCATGAATCGGTGTAAACTAGACCACCATTAAAAACCTCGAAGCACTGGATGACTGATCTTGTATATTAATAACTAACAAAATTCAAGCGTCAATCTACTAAGAACAATATAATAGATTAAACTGAGAATAGGGATATGCATATTAAGTATACAAATACTCACCGGGGAACAAAGGCGATAAATCCATTTGTGCCTCTTAACTGACAAATGATTCCTTCTGTATATCGAGATGGATCATCAACTGGTTTATCTTTAAAGAACAAAGCTTGAAATAATTCTAAACTGGATCGTTGAACTTGTTGAGCAGCCCAGTGTTGTTCGTTCATATGATTGCAAATAGAAGCTAATTCTTCTGAAGAGAATAACCCATCGGTTTTATTTTCTAAAATTGTGACTAATTCAGTATTTTTTGAGTTGAGTTCACTTTGTGTTGTTGTCAGTGACCTGTAGTCTCCTAATGAAGCAAGCAGAAGACGATGAACCTGTATCCAACGAAAATAAGAACCATATAATATTGTAAATAATTTTACTTCGCTTTTATTATAATATCTCTTATGACTCCTCTATTTAACTGATGAATAATATTTAAGTAATAACGGAAGTTAATAAACAACACTTATGTAACAATGAACACATTTCAGAATCACTTTCTCAATGATGAAATGAAACTACTGGATTTTCTTATTTTGATATAACTACTTTAATAAAAAAAAATCAATTTAGTGACCACCAATGTAAATTTCATATACCAATAGCATTCAGCACTTGAATAAAAGATAGTTATGTAAATAATTTGGAAATTATAAAAAGTTGCCACCACGGATAATTAATCAGCCACAAACAGCCTAAAACTTGACACAAACTGTGGTCCAAACCATGAGAAATTTGACAAGATCCATATTAAGGGATTAGATACAATAGTATAATCCATGATAGGGAAAAAACCTAAGCCAGTAGAATCTAATTTGAGATTAAATGACTCACAGAAGCTCATGTGAGATGCTCTGAAGTCACATTATCAGAACCCTTGAATCGCTAAGAAATGATCCAGGACCATATTCAAGTCTCTCAAAACGAAATGTCCTTTTACATTATGTGAAACTGCGAAGTAAGAACTGCCCTCATACCTCTAACAACATTCGACCGAGTCTTGTTCACAACCAAGTACCTCCACTTCCTAATATTTCTTCTAATTTAACTAAGAGACTTCCTTTTCTATTTTCACTGTTTTCCACATGTGTCATTAGACAGCCATATTAATAAATGCAGACTATCTGGTTGTGTTCAGCACGATAATTACAATCAGTGATTGGATACGGTTGGTGATATGACCTGCAATCAGCCACAGTTAAATATTCATTCGATATTTATTTTTCATTAAGTCTTGAAATTCAATATTCACACCATTTTTCTCCATCCAGTACATATTTTCGAAACATAATCTGTAAAGTTTAGTCTTTTGCAATTTAATTGATAGTACTATTATATCGAAATCTTTTCTACTGATACTGTCGATTTGATTTTGCTGTACTGATATAGCATAATAACTCGACTTGACGTACATTTATCCGGAGATGTCTGCTGATTATGTCTGAGTAACGTGTATGAGTGGTAATTCGATTACGGTTTAATCGGCTTTCAAGTAGACCAGAGATAAAAATATCATAGTGATTGAGATACATGTGCGAATTTTTTAGAAAAGAACTGGAATTCGGTTAAATCGAACATTGACTGAATGGTAGCCAGTCAAGCATACAGTCACAAACAAAACACAAAAAGCCAGAACAATATGAAAACCAATTTTTAGTCATTTATTAGGTCTTACTAACATATTCCAAAAAATCGAAACTCTACACTAACAGAATAACTGACAAGTTGAACTAATAGATCGTATTTGGTGGAAACTATAAAAGATTACATCAAGATTTTGGAAATAATTTGGATAATCAATTTGCAATAAAATAAGTTGAGTTAGATAGTGTAAACAATCCAAAAACTTACAATTATATCAGCGTAACGTCGTATAGGCGATGTGAAATGTGTATACAAATTTAGGGCTAAACCATAATGGGAAAACTGATCTTGTGTCATATTTGATGAACCAGTTGAGAAATACAGTGCATTTGTCATTGCACGTGTAACAAGTTGAAGTACCACCTTGTTAACCTATTTATATACACAACAATCAGGAAGAATCGGAAAGAATAACTCAAAGAAATCAATAAATGGAAGCAATAGTAGAAAGGTATGAACGGCATTCAGTTTCTCATGTACAAAAATACTAGAAAAACTTACATTTATCTGGAAGCCACCTAAGCTAAATGAAAATGTACTAAAGTGAGATAATATTTCAGTCAACATAGTTCTGAACAATTCTAACCTCTGATCTAACGAGTAAAGTAAATGGAATTCAGTTCTTTAAATTTATCGAGAGTAATCTGAGAAAACTACCGAAAAAATTTTCAATTTATATGAATGTTTGTCATGATACTCGATATGAATTGGAAAAAGTTCCTCTATATAATGTAGGAAGACGCTAGGGTACAACAATTAAGTCATACAGAATTGCGAACCAGTTATAAGTATACAACTTATTTCCACGTTGTAACAAACGGGCCATTTTATAGCATAAATTAATTTATATGTATAATACTTTACTTCACCAGAAGGATATTCACAACAAATAAATAGCATACGCGATGCAGTCGGCTAAAAATCTAAATAAACACCTTAGATGAAGGAAATTAAAAGTATACCTAATGAAAGCGATAATTTATTATATCAAAAAATCTCCTATATTTGAATCTTACCTCGGGATCATTAGGATCTGATGCATTTTTTAAGGAATTCGCTAGTGAAAGATTGGAATTTGTGTCTAAAACAAAACCTCGACAAGCTATACAGCGTTTAAGTTCATCGAAATATTCCGGACGCGGAGGTGGATGTCGACGTAGACAAGCGCGATCAGGATAATATTCTACACATCGACGTGCAACCCAGTGGTTTGCAAATATCATTAACTCCGCTACTGTATTGTGCATTTCAAGGGGCTATATCAAGATTAGAATAAATACAGACATTTACGAAAGCGATCCATGAACAAAAAGCGCAAATTCAGAATTTGCAATTAGTTAAAACCAGCATATAAAAATTAGATATGTTTTAGGTTGAGTGAAGAAACCACGAGTGACGTAACCAAACATTATTATCAATCTCCGAAACTTACTCCCTTAGATCTCTATTAACTACAATTTATCTTCATAAAATGTCAGTATCTTAAACTACTGAAATCTCGATGGACTGTAGTACCAGGCAAAATATCGCCATAAAGTTCGAACACATATTTCAGAATAATAATTGATAGAAACTAAGATACAGAAAATCTGAGTAATGATGAAAACCACAACAGTAGTAGCCAAATTTACATCATATTATTCCCTATTTTGCAACTTCTAAATAATAACAGCAAAGTGATGCCTATAAGGCTGCTCAAATAATCGGCAGGTTTGCCGGGAGATGTATGCAGATTCCCAATATAAATAAGTTTCTGAAGGATTAGTCGATAGTTGAAAATACAAAATAACAGGACCTAAGCTTTTTAACAAGAACGTACTTATCATTTCTCTCTTCTTGCCACCGTAGAGTCAACATTATTACCGTTACAAATCTATTACCGATTTATTTACTTTAGATCTTTTAGATAAAGCTCACAGTCCACTTGTTATCAAAAGGGGATAACAGTATGAGATCATTAATTTCTTTGTCACAATAACAATAAGGAATTTCTAAAGCCCAATGCAATTGGTAAAGAGTATCGCAATGTAACTAAATTCAAAACATCTCTACTTACAAACAGTCAAAATGTTTGTGTCAGCCTCAAAGCTGTATGTACTTCACATGACAGACTTGACTAGTAGCATTTTTTTATGGAGCTAGAAAATCTAAAAAAACGTAAGGTTACTGAAGATTATTCTAGGTAAAGTAACAGGCTATGAGTAGTCCGCATGTTTCCTGTAATTTGCGTATCTTTTTGCTAAAATGGTATTTGACCTTAAAAGTTTTAATTTCTAATGGATCAGTTTGACTAAGGTCAAATAAATGAAATATTAACGTCTCCAAATGACAGGATACGCTAATCAAATGAAATAAAAAAAGGTATATTATGAAACATCTAAAGTACATACATGAAGAATAATATTTTTTAAATTTTTTTTAAATACCTCTTTTGGAATCAAATCCTCTAGTTTTCCAGTACGTGTTTCAGGATTAGCAAATTGAACACTAACTTCTACACTTTCAAGTTCTAAACCTCCTTTAGCAAGTCGACGTTCACGAATATTAGAAGCAATATCAACCAATAGTAAAATAGATTTACTAAGCTTTTCCAAAGCAGTTAAACATTCATCCTTTGATAATTATTTAAAACAATAAATCATTACTATGAAATAATAACATAACTCAACAAAACTATTCTTACATTTGATAAATGAAAAGTTTTTTTTATTAAGTCTAATTTTGCATCATCATTACATTTAAATAATTCCTAAAGACCAATATGAAAACATTGATGAATACTTAAATACAGTAACTAAGTTTAAATAAACTTGAGTAAAAGGGATAAATTTCAAAACCATATTGCATAGAACCAAATGATGCTTATTTCATTATGAATTAACTCAAATAATATATAAAGAAACTTAATTTGTTGATACTGAAACAAACATTGCGAATCATGCAAATATTTTTAAACATATAAATAAAGAATATCATAAGACAGTTTATGTAAGAAATGTGTATAATTTTATGTACTTAGGAAAAAAAAAGAAATATGTGGGATAATAGAACTTTATAAATGTAGTACAAGTTTTCACTATAAACTTTATTATATTTCTTTATAACTTAAGAAAATATGATTTTATAGCATATGTACCTCTCTATAACGGAGTTTCAGAGTTTAAAACACTTGATAATGAAAAGATAGTTATAGAATAATTGACAACTAGCTTGTTTTTTTATATTCGCCATGAAGTCACGCACATTTTGCTGGGTCTCAATAACTAGTTTCTATCTTAGTTAATCGAAAATTGAATAAGTTTATTCTCTGGTCAGTTTGATCAAATTCACCTCCCCTTGGTAAAATATAATCACGACTATCGAATAATATGAATAAATTTGCAATTATTGTTCGGTACCAATAATGTTAAAGATCTGTTACTTATCGGAATAAAAATCCCCAATAATAAATCGTATTATGCTTTATACCTCAAAAGTCGACTCACTCTGACTTTTATTCAACCATCTTCATTTGACTAAAAAATCAGTGATGTAATATGTTTATAGACATGATTGTTACTTATAATTTATTCAATTGACGCACCTTCTACTACTGCTCGGTATGAATTTGATTTTCGACAAATTATGAAAACAACTAGTGATATCAATGAAGTATAATTTCATAAAATAAGAAACCTTTACATTACATAATTTAAGGCTGTGTAAAGTTATGGTTTTCCACTAAATTGATAAGACGTATCAATCAATAAATACATAAAAATGAATGTAAGAAGTACATATTATGAAACATAAAAACTACCTGGTTTAAATCTCTTAATTCAGGTATATCATTTTTAACAGCTTCCAATCCACCTGACTTCTTAATAAGCTCTTCCATTGCAAAGCTATTCGATAAAATGTTTTCTGCAGTGACTGAGTCATATATGCGTTGAGCAAGTTCATAGGTTAACTTATAGCTTGAATGGATTACCGTACGACCATACCATATATTTGAGATATCGAATGAATCCATATCTATTTCCCACAATACGCTAACAGCATAGCTAAAAGTTGTATAAAGAAAAATCTAAAAACCACTAGATCGTTTCAGTCCGTAAACGATAAAACAGACCACAAAGTTGCAGTCGAGTACTCACTGATATATATATATATATATATATATATATATATATATATATATATATATATATATATATATATATAACCTTAAGGAAATAATAAACAGAACACACATAAAATCTTATATATATAGTATGAAGAAAACAGGATATAAATCGATAAATACAATACATCACAACAATTAACTACATTATTTTTATAAACATTCATTTCCGTGCTTGCTTCATCGTAATGCCGACCTCGTAAGTTCGCCAAACATGTGCAATTTTATTTGTTCTTGTTCAAACAAATACGCGACAAAAATATTTTTTAAACACAAATAAGGTAATGTGAAATGTAGACTGTTTGTATCACATACGATGCAAGTTAATTCATCTTAAACAACATATCTTTCAAACTAATTTTCCGTTGTTATCATAACAACTGTTTTGTTTTTGTAAGCTGTAACGAACAACATTCGGAACGTTCAGACACCAAGGTTTTATCTAACATTTGAATCAATCATACTGACAACGCCATACCAACAAGCCTGAAGACCTGTTGAGGTAGCTACAGACACAATTATTATTATTAACCTTCCAAGCTTAGTATTATTGTGATATGACTGGGCCAAGTTATTAATACCTATCCATATTAGCTACCACCTTGGGAAATATTTTATATGCTTTGATGTTTACTTATTACATTGCTTTTTTCCTTGCGATGTAAAAGCTATCTTGAAAAGTCCTGTCTCTACTCTTCTTATTCCCATTTGGCTTTTATTGTTGAACTATTGTTGTGCATTAGTACTAAATTTATCTAGTCGCATTAGATAGACTCTCGTGTTGGAAGCATCTCTAATAATGTGTATTTCGGAATAAAACTGACACAGATTATAACGCTAAAAGACAGTTGATCAACACTAGCCACGCACAGCCTTATTTCGAGTAATAGCTTTTGTATCCTTTATTTTGAACCTTGCTGCTGACACTGAAACTACTTCGATGATGAGGGGTGTTGTAATGAGAGTTAAATTTGCGTATCACTATCTCTGCGAAGGCAGAAATAATTTAAAAACTCATTTTGGTTCCACAACGACCGAATATGATCGGAAGTACAACTTTGGAGTAGATGCTTTCGATATTACCTACATTTAACTGAATATTGATCATAGTAGGGTGTGAAGAAACATTAAGCTGAAGATTTCCGGCAACAAAATGTCTCATCACAGTTTTCGTCGAAAACCTGCACGCTGCCAGTAGCAACGTTGTATAGGCAATACTGAGGTTTAGTAACCTCTGTCTTTGTACAGTAAAGAAGAGGAATAAATTGATATCATCTTAAAATGCAGGATTTGATGGCCTAAATAGGTTTTGTGTACTTTTTCACATAAACTGTACCCCTTAGTGCTTGATGTTTCTTCATTTTCTACTCCTTCAGAATATCGTTACTTGATTTTGTATGAGGGATTTATAGCGCACTGTTGTACCGTGCAAATTTATCTAACAAACGAAGTAACTCACAACTCAAGCAGTGGTTAAAAAGTTACCAAGTATTTTATGAGCGTCTTATTATTTAACGTTGTTAAATATACCTAAATCCTAGAAAGTTTCTTTCAATCAACATTTTGTTATTTTGGTGCAATAATTTTTGTTTTGATAAATTTAATTTTCCAAGCCGTGCCATCTACTTTTACCACGGTTGAGGATATCTTTTTCAGATTACTCATTTATCAGAATAATCTTTACCCTACTATCAAGAAAACTGTAAACATATTTATAAGCACTTGAAGCTCGACAAAATCACTCTTCGTTGATTTTTTCACTAAATATTCTGTGTCAGATCTGTCTTTCGGTTTGGTAGAGGCTAGAAAGAGGATATACTTGTACTTAATCGAAAATCAATACGAACAGTACCTCACCATATGCTTAAGTTGTATCAAAGATATAATAAATAGTCAGATAACATAATTACTTGAATTTCTTTGTGTCAACAACAATATAATAATGGTTGTGGCGAAAACAATGACAGAATGCTTACCGATCACGCCCGCTCCATAGAGAACATACGTCTCCGCTTAACAAACCTGGTAACATGTCATACCGACGATCAGCTAAGTAAATACTAGTTGAACGTCTTCGAGCTTCACTATCAATATAACTACCAGATGGAACAAAATAACTAACATCAGCTATGTGTACACCCAGTTGCAAACGTTTATGTTCTTTTCCATATTCATCAACGATAGGTGGTAACCGTTGAACGGACAAAGCATCATCTACATCTTGACATCCAGGAGGATCGATACTGAAGATAAGTATATCTTCAGAGTCTGGATTTCCTGAAATAGTGGGCGATCGAAGATCTCGACGTTTCTTTACTTCTTCCGGATCAACTTTCCACGGGCGTTGAACACTTAGTGGTGCTAATTCATTCAGCTAGTACAAAATTTCAGAATGAGTATGTATATAAATATAACAAATAAATAGAAAAAGATTAGTTGAGTGAGAAATTTGATTAAACGTTCGAGAAAATGATGGAATTATTACGTTAACAAGAGAAGAAAAGTGCGCAAAAATCACGTCTGTGTTTGTGCATTGCATAAATAAAATCGAAAAAGAACTGTGTCCGCATACGAAAAACGCATAAAGGTTTAAAATAATATTGGTAACAATTATGATAAGTTTATAAAGTCTAAACTGACTATTATGAAGCCAGTTCAATGATATAGAACATGACAGATATTTCGACTGTTACAGGAAATGCCAGGTGTATTTAATAACAATGACGAGTTACTACTGATTTATTAATATTAAATCAATAATTACTATAACAGAAGAAAAATAATTCAACAAGCATGACTTTTTGATCTATACCCCAGACGAATTATAATGACACAGTTTCGAGGAGAAATGGAACGATAAAGCGATATATAAGTTCCTTTAAATAATATATTTTAATATCCCTTTGTACTATTTAAACTTGTAATGGTTTTAATTTGGCTATTTATTCTATGAAGAAGTGACTTGCACTAAGTCACGATACGTCAGAAAATCTAATTTTTCTACTAATTGGGATATTACAAGTATATTATTTATTTATAAAAATCTACCCAATGCTCAATTTATTCGAAATTATCAAATCAAATCTTGGTAATGATACCTATAAGTCCCTTTATTTATTAGTGAGAATATAAATTAGTCAATGAAACGGATACTGATGAATACTGTGCAACTGTCTAGAGAATTCTGAGACAAATAACACAATATGATATCGAACGGCATTGTGAGGTACAACTTCCAACATCGATTAATAGTCAGTCAGTAATATCTAGTGAACACACTGTATGTCGACAGGAAAACACTTGTTATTACACAAAGGCAATAACTATTCAAGTTATCAGTATTTTCTATGCTATTTATAGTCAAATATCTTTTGAGATATACCTTCCACTTTCATGATGTTATTGAGAAACAATATATGATGAACTTTTATGTATTTATTCAATTTACGATTATCATTAGAAGAGTGGATATGGTAATATTTTAATGATTATTCAATCATTAAAAGAACGCCTATTGACTGTAAACAAAAAAGAAGGGTAGTGACAGTGATATATAACGCTAGTCAAAATCAATCATTCAGTATACCTGCGCATCAGTAAAATTTCGAATAATTAAATTATGTTCAATTAGTATGGTTTGTGTTTCCGTTTCCAAATCGCCAATGCAACCTAGAGTTTGAACAAAATGACCACTTGGGTAAGCTGAATAGGAGTCCCACGTATCGATTCGTACAATAAAACTACAATCATAGGAAAACATCTTGAGTCAGATGATTGTTAGGCAGAAAACAAAAAAAAATTCAAAATTAAGGAAAAAGCAATGTTCACATAACTTCACAATAAAGGGGATTATAAAGAAGAATACAATTAAAATAACCATTATTATCATTAAACCTGCAGTGTCTATATGCATAAACAAAATAACTCAACCCCAGACCATCATATACAATCCACCTTGAGAAACCTATTACAAGATGTATCGATAGATGTCTTTCACATTAATGTCAGAAAATTATATGTAATAAATGTGAGAAAACCAAACTTACAAGTTATTTGACTACTAGAAGCATCTATACAGCTTCGAATAAAGACAGTAGTGTACCAATCTGAGCTGACAGTGGGAAGAAAATCAATAAAAATGACTAATTTGGTCATAATTTTATCTGTTATAAACAGTTTACAAAAAGCAACCTAGGCCTAACACTCAAAACGTCGGAAGGAAACAAAGATAATTTTCCCAAATACTAAAAGTAGGGCAAGAACATGTGCATAGACTCACCCAACACATGAAAGTTATACATATTATAATTACGAAAAAACATACTTTCTGAATATTTATTAGTCAATCACAAATAGCAAAACCAATAAAGTATGGTAAAATTTTGCAGTTGAGTATAAAATTACACGCTGGTAAGAATTTTGTGTGTATTACTCACCGTTCACGAGTTAACTTGGAAATTTGTGTAGTATGCAGTCGAATAAGAGGAATACGACGATCCCATGGAGTAACTATTATCCATCCACTTTCACTTTTTGGATCTAATGCATTTTCAGTAGATTTAGGAACATATGTACAGACATAATCACGCCAATTACGACTGACAACACCAACAACAAAGCCACAAGGTAGACTTCTTGATAATGTTTCTGACTTAAAACAATCCTGATTGGGTTTAATTCCGGACATACTTGATAAATCACTTACAAACTCAGCTGCACCTAGTAAAGAAATCGATAACACTGATGGAACATGCGAAAAGTGGTAAACAAAATTTACAAGAATTAAACTTCCATTTTAAATTGAAGTGAACTAATAAGAATAATGAGAAGTCCAGGTTATGTTAGAGAAACCCGTACAGAATAGACCAATGAATGGAGATGTATGGTGACATGGTGTAAAATCGGTCACAGTGGTGCAAGTGCGTTTATTTTCCGTCGTCTCTTCAATATGGATTCAGCTCTTCCTCCTAACTCTTATTCAATCTCAAACATTCCATTTGCATTGCGCTTTTGGTGTTTAGACTTACCTTGTATTTGGGATTAAACCCTTTCCTTTTTAATCACTCTTCTCGCTGTATTAACATGAGGCGCAGCAACTTGAACAGATAAAAGGTTGTACCAAGTCTTACATTGATCATAACTAACTGGCTTTATGTTTGTTTAACCACACTTAAATTTGTTTACATTCTCCGACTTTGCTCTCTCCTAATTCAACTCGTTTTCAGTGTATTACTTCAAACTACTTCTCAATATTCACTAAACAGTCCTATTTCTAATAATTTCTAAGCATATAGTGTAATATTTTAAAGTGCTGACATAAACAAAAAACACTTTTGTTATATTTATTATAACAGTTACTTTCTCTAAACTCTTAGGACAAATATTCTAACTTTACTACATTCCTGGAACCTTTCAAAGAGAGCGAAAACATAGATTAGTGCAGGATAATATGAATTCATCTTATTTCGTTAGGTTCTCATCAAGTGCTTACAACCCATAATATTTTAAATCAAAGCTATTACAGATATTGACATACTTATAAATACGAAGGTGATTAGAGATGAGTATGTACATCATGATGTATCAAAGATCATAAAAACTTTTTGTTTCAGATAAATATATGAAGTGAGAAATGGAAAGTTCCAGAACATCGAAATAGTGATTAGAAATAACAGAGGTAACAAACATTAGATGATTGTGTGATGAAGTAACTGAAAGCAGATTGATAGTAATAAAGATACGAGTTGAAGTCAGTCAATTATGAATTAAAGAAAATGACAACGATTCAACCAATACTTCAGGAGTTGAAATCATAAATGATGCAACAAAAAAAGATGTAATGTTGCCAGAGCAAATAAAGATTTATCACTCTTTCGTCTTGGACACAGATCAGGTTTCGAACGTTTAACCACTTTTGCTTCAGAAAATTTCAGAAGATTGGAGTTCGATTGTCTATTAATCATCTCGTAAAATTTCAGTGTATCCAAGTGATGTCCTGTATCAATGAGGTGTCATGAGGTTGCATTGTTAAACGCTTTTATTCCACTTGACCTTACACTTTTGGAATATGTTCTTTGAATCGGATGTAGGCTCTCCTTTCTGTCCTAGCAATTCAACCATTTTGGCATATTCATGTGAATTTGTAGATACAGTTGGTGGTAACGTGAAAAAGATACCTATCGATCTTTGATTGTATTAAAGAACATGTTGTTTTCGACAACACAATAGGTTTAGCTGTGAGATAAATTCGTGTCAATGCGTTTTTTCGGTCTCATGTTTGTCGACCCTGTCACATCAACACCTTTGAATTTAAGTTGAATAAAAATAGGTGTTTAGGGTTTTGTATCTCTACATTTCACATATTTTTCAGTAAATTCCTATGGGTATCCGTTGTTCTTTAAACACCCTTTCAACATTCATTATTTCCTCCTCTCGTGTATCAACAGTACATATTCCTTCTGCTCCGTGAGTGTTTTAACCAGTGCCTTTTTCGAAACTGAGTGGACAACGGCATTTGAAATGAAGATAAATCCCACTCTACGTGTCTTTTCTATAAACTGTACATAGGACCGTGTCATCCTTCAGTTTATTGTAATGTTGAGAAAATGAGACTTGTTTTCATTTTCATTTATTTTTTCTACCATTAATACTAGTAATAACAATAACGCTAATACTTATACTACCACTACTACTACTGCTTCCACCACCATTACTATTAAACTAATTATTGTAACATCAATCTTTGTTTCTAATTGTTGGGGACGATAGATCCCCAAAAACTCATAGTTTGTAATTTATCTTGTGGAGCTTGTATGCAGATGTATACGTGGGCATTTCTTACCACCCACGCACATAGTTGATTGACGAATTTATCGATTAAATGTTTAAATATTTCGATGGCAGTCAATTGACGAACTATCGATTAAATGTTTAAAAGCTCCATGACAATATCGATGTATATATATTTGTATATATACGTTTTAAGATCGTCTTTGTAAAAAGTTCGCTGGTTTTCTGGTTGTTACAGAATATACTTTCATTCTAAGCTTGGTCTTCTCACTCTAGATAGCGGAGCTGGGACGCGTCAATAGATAGCTTACTGGACCTTGGTCACCGAATCCTCGATCTCGTTCTCAAACTACGTGAACCCGTGATAGCTCTCTATTTCAAAACCTAACACTAATATTTTATCATTATCACTAGAAAAGGCCTTGACTGATCCAGTATTTTCTGTATAAGTATATGGACATAACTGTACATTAAACATGCGGATCGACCTGTTTACTCTGCTGATGTACAGTACTTAATGTTACCATGTAGCAAATTAATATTTACGCTTAGTTGTGAAACTAAATTGCGATGTCTCCGGAAAAATAAATTCATAACTGAAACTCATAAGAAAAGGTAGAAAATGTTATAAATATCAGCATCACTTTCAACAGTAAAAAGCCATTTTACCTAAACATTAGTGAGCCAATAAAACAAACATAATTGAAATAAAAACATATCAGTGCAAAATGCAGATTAACTCACAGTTTTCTTGAGCACTGATATCGGATGAGACAGTTTTCCAATGAACACGGGGTAAAAGACGTACTACAACTACATCTCCATCAACAGCACGATTACGATGTTGTAGCCCGTGAATCATAATCTCACTCCGTGCAGCCAACGCTTCCTTAAGTTCTGGTTGGTGCTTTACTGCACTAGCGCTAAAAATGATTGACAAAACTTGAATTTTTTCAAATGACTCAAGAACAAATATAAAAGTAGAAAATGTATTTGGATTTGTATGTTTATAGGTTTACGGATTCTAGGACGTAGCTTAAATCGGTCAACATATTTGACCACTAAAAACGATAACAGATTGTTTCGGGTTTAACAAAGCACGATTAAATTGTTTTGAGCTTACTCTGTTAAGGCTACCATGGCCTCAGTAGTCGGTCGAAAACGTGACACGTGAAGAATGCCCTTCAAAAACTGTCCAGACCGTAAACCGGCAGCTAAAGCCGATTCAGGTAAATATTCTGGATATACGTGACCAACAGAAGGCGCTGGAAAGAAAAAATACTTATACTGAGAAAAGGTAATTCTAAATGTGATGCTCGCTCGCTGAATGAACAATAGAATTACCGAAAAATACCTATAACACACGATTTTACTGGAAGAGGTGAACGACTAAAGTTTGTGCTAGAACGACTATATAATTTGCTCCCAAGCATAAACAGAAAACTATCTCTCCTAGTTTTTAGCTGAATAAATTGACCTTGCTTATCCTGACTAGTCATATTTTCGTTTTTGATAATATGAAAGCTAAACCCAAACTGACCTGAAGGCATGATGCACGAGTCCAAAGACTCTAAAGGATTTTCTGATTTTGAGAGCTCTGGTAAATTGTGGCCTTTGGATTGGATAGAACGAAGTGATACATCCAAAGAATCAAATAAAAGTTTGGCAGTTGTGAGCGTGGGGTAGTACATTTGTAAAAAACCTGGTAAATCCAAGACCTGAAACAAAGACATTTATAAAATTAAAATCACAGCTGGTTGAAATAAACATATACAAGTACCTGCTGATCGAAGAATATGATTAGTTTGTTTATTGTTTAAAATAGGGGATAAAGTTACGCCTGTTCTAATCGGAGATAACATCGTTTGCTTATATATCGTCCTGGTTTACATAAGGAAGATTTTTAATGATTTTGTCTAAGGCAACGATCATAACAAACAACCTAGCAACTTAGGGGGTGCATATGCGCCAGATTTTACGCAGTGACTGGGATGGAAACAAGTAGAAGAAACTTATGGTGAAGTTGCTTAACCATTGAAGAGATATCCGGAGGCTAATGTTACAAGTTTTAAGAAGTAAGAACTGATGTAATATCCTTTTAAAATCAGAGACCATAGTAAAGGCTGGGAAGTGAACTGTCCTGTAGCCAGATAGTTGTTCACCGCGTCCAACAGTGTGAGTTGGACGATAATATTGACTCTAAATTTGATCAACAAAATGTAAATAGTTCTGATGTTACAGGTGCAGGATAAACGGTGAAAACTCCAAATACAACTGAGATACCATATTTAACAGCTTTACTAGCTTCATCTCCCCACTGCTACTCCGAAACAAAAACTTCGTTAAGAAAATGTATTGAACAAAATCAATGGGGATTAACTGTAAACACAAAAAATGCCCCCAAATGCCCTGGTACGGCCGAGAGTGGGGAGAGTCCGCTCTCCCTCTCGAAATGCTCTCATATGGCTACGCGTATATAGCCTCTGCCAGGGAAGTCCTACTCACTGCCTTCTCGTGGCGGGGGTGTTGTTTACAAAAATGAGAGGACGAAAAGCGAATGTCCGGCGCTTTAACCGGACCCCAAACCAATGGTGCACATGGGCTCCAGTATCCTGAAGGAACAAATGGCGTATGAACCAATCGTTGGTCACCGGCTACCATGGGACTGCATCTCCTCACGATGCTCCACTGCCTTGTGGGTCAGACGTTCAGGTCGAAGGCTCGGGGTGTGGCCCGCTAAGAAAACCACCTGCTTCGGTTTGGGCACCCGAGCAGTATCACAGCCCTCACACAAATCAATTGAGATTTGTGTGGCGCATATGTATTTGGTGCCTCCCTGTACCTATACTTATGTGTTAAAATAAATAAATAAAAATGGTAAACACAAAATGACTCGGTTATGTATTAATTTAGTGACTATTAATTACGGAGACCTATTAATTAAGTAATTATTAATCGATGCAAAATCATAGTGAAATAACGCTTACAAGAAAAATGTATTAAGTCTAATAGCTAAATGCAATTGAAATACATTTAAACCTAGTGAACAGAATCTATGATTTCTTTCTTTGTGTTTTGTATTTGGAGATTGAATATCCTTCAACAGACGAGTTATTATGAATCAGTTTTGCTTTGGTTACCGTCACGTTATATCACAGCACTGAATGTTGCCTATCAAAAACTACTCATAAAAAGACATTACACTTTAATCTGATGTATGAGTATGGTTTTTGAAGCCAATAAGTAATTATCCAAATATTAGACCATAATATTTTCCAAAGACCATTAATATCCTGAGCTTAGGGTGACTACGTGTACATTTATTTATAGGAAGTGATACAAACGATGTAGTGAATACACAACATTTAGTGTCCCCAGTCACTGCCTACCTGATGCGAGATAGAGAATGGTAGTCATTAAGAAAATTTGTTACAGGAAATAAAACAAAATATGGTACTAAATTACGAAGTTCTTAATCTGATTAGCACTATAACCTGAAACACTCTCATTGGTTGGAGCTTACAACATGGAAGAAATTGGGTGCAGAACTACGACAAACTGACTATATAGCTCTTGATTTATAAACAAATTTTACTCTTAAGCCCATCAAATAGTATGCAATAATTTGTATACTCGACAGTGGATTATAACTTAAGACACTGGTGAAGGGTATGTTTTCAGTATAAAAAGGCAATACTGAATGGATTTCTTGACAAGTACGTTAATAACTCCAGATACTATGATTATTCATTCATGTGTCAAAACGGTTGAACCACGTATCTCAATTAACTGACCACTCAAAACCGAAACATCCGCTTCAACGTCTACATAAAGACTAATACGCAGACCATAGGAAGCATGTCGAGTCCCAAAGTTCAGAAACGATTAAGCTTTCGATGTTTATGTTTTACTAGGACAAGCTGAGAATACACGAATCGCTAACTGAAGATACAACTTAAAACAAGATCTCACGACTAAATTCATTATTTTGTTGACAAATCTGTAGACGCATTTTGACACCATGGATGCCAAAAGCAACTGCTTGAAACCCTTAAGTCTAATTTCGATATCTCTTGTCTAGAATGAACTAATCGAATTTCTAAACAAAGAGGAGTTGGGGTTCGAGCCACAAACTAGCATTACTTATGAGTCAGTACTATTACAGTTTAGGAAAGCATATAATAATTAGCCGTGAAAGTGCCCCCAAATGCCCTGGTACGGCCGAGAGTGGGGAGAGTCCGCTCTCCCTCTCGAAATGCTCTCACATGGTCACGCGTACATAGCCCCTGCCAGGGAAGTCCTACTCACTGCCTTCTCGTGGCGGGGGTGTTGTTTACAAAAATGAGAGGACGAAAAGCGAATGTCCGGCGCTTTAACCGGACCCCAAACCAATGGTGCACATGGGCTCCAGTATCCTGAAGGAACAAATGGCGTATGAACCAATCGTTGGTCACCGGCTACCATGGGACTGCATCTCCTCACGATGCTCCACTGCCTTGTGGGTCAGACGTTCAGGTCAAAGGCTCGGGATGTGGCCCGCTAAGAAAACCACCTGCTTCGGTTTGGGCACCCGAGCAGTATCACAGCCCTCACACAAATCAATTGAGATTTGTGTGGCGCATATGTATTTGGTGCCTCCCTGTACCTATACTTATGTGTTAAAATAAAATAAATAAATAAATAAAGCCGTGAAAGTAGAAAGGAATTTCCGTCTATGATGAGACTATCCCTAAAGACCTGAAGTAATGTGATTCAATTTTCCCCGTGACTGCCCATGATAATTATTAAAATGATGGTATAATAACTTACAGTTAATTTGCACGATGCGGTGTTTATTTCAGATGAATAAGTGTGGACACGACTTTCGTTATCTGTTACGAAAACTAGTGAAACGTGACCTTTCAAGTGATGTATGTACCAGTTAGCAGCAACCCAATTCATCCTGTCAAAAAGTTTAACAAAAATTACTCTAACCTCGTAGTGTAATCTCTAAGGCTCTCGTCTGCAAAAGGAGGACGAAAACAGGAACGACTAAACTCATTATCGAATAAAATGCATGTTTGGCTGGCATCTTCAAGGCTTGAGCGAATTCTTTTGTATGGGCGTTTCGTCGAAGCCTGTTGCTGAACCTGGGAGCATTAAATCACTAAGGTATGACACCATACGAAATTCACTGACGACAGTGAAATAATAACACCCTTTATGTCTTCAAGCTCAAATAGTTCCCAGTAGTTCAGAGCATAAAATCCATCGATTAAAATATAGGTTTTCAAGTCTTTTGGTAAGCAATGTCCACCTGAGATTATCAAATATAGCTTTAAACTACCTTGATGGCACTCGGCCTGAGAGCATGACAAACTTCTACATGGTATGTCGTCCCGAAGATAGACTTCTCTTGTCAAACAAACCTCTTTACCTCTGGGAGTCCTGTATCTGATAGTCTTTTCTGACTTTTCGCGAAGGACTACATATCCACCAACCATCCCTGTGAAATATTTACCCGAGACTATTAGGCTGGAGACTTAAGGGGCGTGCCTAAATGATCTAGTTCGCCGCGCACAAGAAGGTCAAACGGCTAAACAGGATTACAGTAACCAAACAAATTAGTGAAATGTCCGGATCGCTGATTATCGGGAACATCTGCGTTCTATACAGTTGAGCGGAATTACAGATTTATACTATCTATTCTGAACCTGAAGTACAATACGGTGTGATCACAGTTTCCCAGAGGTCGTAGGAACTGAATGTCAAAATGGTTAAAATGGTTGTAGACGGAATAGAAGAAGCTTTCGCTTAACAGGCTTCCGTGTCTAGTATCAGGGGATCACTAATACCTCTAGGCAAGAACCTAGGTATTTTAACGATAAAAGAGAAAGAAAATGAATTGGTAAATCATAGTAGGATACTATCCTTAGTCCTTAAGAATAGATCAAGTCGCCTCTTAAAGGACTCCTGAGAAGTTGCTTGGACTAGCTCAGCTGACAGCGAATTCCAGCATTTGACAACTCTTAAGGAGTAGAAGTTGTGCCATCAGTCCGTTCTACTATGTTGTATCTCTAATTTCCGGGTGTTACCCCTTAGGTTAGTGTTGGGACTAAGCTTAAGTAGGTGTTTAAGAGGATGTCCAGAAGTGTCAAGGATACTATAAGCCATGAGAAGGTCACCTCTGAGACGCCTATACTCTAGCGAGTAAAGGTTAAGTGATTGAAGGCGCTCTTCATAAGGTTTAAACTTGAGTCCCCGAACTAATTTCGTGGCTCACCGTTGGATACGCTCCAGAGTGTCCTTATCCTTTTGGAGTGTAGGAGGGAATACTATGTTTCCGTACTCTAAATGGGGACGAATGAAACTATTGGAGATTATGTGGAAAGTTCTCCCGTCAAACTGACCAAAAATGCGCTTCAATGTTACCAGTGCCAGGTTTGCTCGAAAGGCATTTCTGTCACAGTTGGCGTAAGACTTTAAGTCGTAGGGCACCAGGACTCCTAAATCTTTTTCGACTCGGGATACTACTAGAGAGGAGTTTCCCAAGTTGTAACTGTGATCTGTGACGTGTCGCAGATGGACTACTTTACACTTTGAAGTGTTAAAGGTAAGTCCGTTATCATCTGCCCAACTTTGAAGTCGAGTCAGATCCTCCTGAAGTGCCTGTATGTCCTCTCGGTTGCGTATCTCTCTCCAAAGTTTCACGTCATCGGCAAAGAGCAGTATGTCTGACGTTACCTGTTGAGGGAGATCATTTATATAAATCAGGAAGAGGAGAGGTCTTAGTACTGAGCCCTGGGGGACCCCACTAGGACATTCCATAGCGTGTGAGAAATTGAAGTTTACCCTGACCTTAAAATGTCGATTTGCGAGATATGAACTGAGCCAGTCAATTAAAGGTGGTTTGATACCAAATTGTTTGAGCTTGTTAATAAGACATGTGTGGTTAACCCTATCAAAAGCTTTAGAGAAATCAAGGTAAATGATGTCTGCCTTCCCCTTGCGATCAACGATGCTTGTCCATCTGTCCACCGCAGTCAGCAGGTTCGTCATACAGGAATAACCCTTCCTGAAACCATGCTGTTGAGGTGAGAAGAAATTTAAGGACAGCAAATAGTCGTGTATACCATCGTATACCAGGGACTCCATGATCTTTGAAGGTATAGAGAGAAGAGCCACCGGTCGGATTGGAAATAAATTTATCCATAAGCTTTAACTGGTACTGAAGCCTGTCTTCTCTTATAGCCTTCGTACATATGTTCCTTATATGTTTGTATTGCCTGTACTCGCCGTTGTTGTTGGTTCGTTTGTATTCTGCCCAACAGTGCCTTTTACGGCTTAGCAAACGAAGAGTGCGATTTTTGATGATTGTAGGTTGCATGTGGCTGTTGAGGACCGTTTGAGGAACTGACTGCTTTGTAGCACATAAGAGCGTGTGCAGTAAGAAGTCCCAATAAGCATCCACATCAAGTTGAGGGTGAACATCCCAATCCACCTGTTGTAGATAGTCCTGTAGTGCTGACGTATTCAACCGTTTGAAGTTCCAGCGCCTGTTGTTGTTGGGATATCTTAGCTCAGTTTTGCTGACGAAACTGAAGGCTATAACGGCGTGATCGCTTTTCCCCAGGGGAGCCAGAATTGAGAGGTTGTCGACTAGAAATTCTTCATTTGTAAAAACACAGTCTAAGCGCGACGGTGTCTGCCTGTTCCTCCAACGAGTAGCCAACTTCACATTTTCGTGTAGTCCCAAGTCCTCAATGAGGTTGAAGAACCGAGCTTCGATTGAATTTTCACCTCCAGTATACGTATGTTCCGCGAAGTTGACTCTAGGGAGATTGAAGTCCCCTAGAATCAGGATATGAGTGAATCCGAGACGCGTAGAGCGGGATAGTCCTTCCAGCATGCGACTGTCATACTCGATGTCGGCAGTGGGCTTCCTATATATGACTCCGACTAGGCACCTCGAAGTAGTGGACAATCTCATAGAGCACCATATGGATTCCTCAAGATTGTCAAACTCGTGGTTGTGGATTTGATGTACCACCAGGCCAGATCTTATGTATAGGGCTACTCCACCCCCAATTCCTGTTTTTCTGTCATTGCGAAACAGAGACATCCCAGGTATTGCTAGCTCCTGGTCCGAATACTGAGGAGATATCCAAGTTTCAGATATTCCTATCAGATGAACCTTATTAGCGTTGCTAAGTTCACTTAGTTCATCCATTTTATTTGGTAGACTCGCGGCGTTCATGTACAAGCAGTTAATGCTTTCAATTTGAAACGCGTGAGCTTCTTCCTGTTTGTCTGTGAGAGCCTTACGTGAGTGGACAGGTAACCCACCTATATAAGTTTTGTCGAATTGGTAGGCCCTGCCCTTTACACGTTTTTTTTGTCTTGAAGACAGTCCACAAGTGGAATGGTCAGTTCCAGCTTGCCTTTGTGCTTGATCCTGGCGTCGTATGGCCTGTCCGGGTGCATATGGATCCCAGTTGGCAACCGACCTCTGTTGACACGAAATGCTTCCAGAGCTGCAGCCGCCATATGGGAGGATGGAAAAGTTATCCTCATTAGTCGGGGTCTAGGATCCCCGTCCTTCTTGGCTAGTCTCATCACATGCTGAGTCAGTATGTTTTTAAGCCTCAGGGACTGTTTGATGAATTTCCATTCCCGAATGTCAGAGTTTGCTTGAGTAGGGTCCATGTTTTCCGGCACACCTTGCACGATGATATTTCTTCCGCGGATAAACTTCTCTCGAAAATCTTTAGGGACGTTCCGGATGAGATTGCGCTCAGAATACGGTATGTCGGGCAGTATTCTGACGTTCCCATCGGATTTCAGTAGATGACTGGCTAGCAGGACATCCTCTACTTCGGTAGCATTCTTGAGTGTTACACGGAGTAGTCTCGGGTGATTTTGATGTTTAGATTCCTTTCCCCGAGTGAGCCGTGTGACCGTCAAAGGCTCTATTCTAGGAAGTTCGAGCTTTTTGTTCAGTTCACCCCAGAGCATCCTGTCGTTTTTGTCCTGCAAACTGAGAGGAAGGTCAGGATTGTCTATGAGGTTCATGATTATGAGGGAGTCATCACAGACCGTTGTTGTTTTCCCAGGTTTTCCAATACGTTCAGGTTCAGTACGTTGTTGTTTGGAGGTCGAAGCAGGTTTTTGAGTCGTAGGCTTTTTAATAACCGGGCGGACGTTTTTGGGGGTAGACTGAGCGATCAAAGCACCAGTTGATGTCCGTACAACACTTGGGATGTCAACCTTAGACGGTGACACCTGGTCCTTATTAGCTCTGTTGGCGTGGGTGCAGTCACCTGAAGAGTTTTTAGGAACCACTGTTGCGTTTAAGGACCCTGAACTGGGAGATCCAAGTTTAGTGAGGGAGTCAATTATTGTCGACGTAATGATGGTGCTGAGTTTCAACATGTCATCATTAGTGCTAATGCGTGTTCCATCGATGGTTGACTTATCAACATCCCTGTTCTTACTTATGGATAACTTTTGTACTTATTCACACCTATGGTGACTATAGCTGAGTTGTGCAATCGTTCATATTAACTACAAGTTTGCTGCCTGAATCTAACCCTCAGCCTTTTTGTTCTCTACTTGCATGACACACTAATTGTCTCTTGCAAATATACCACTGCCCATACATTTCTCGTCCTCACTTATTGCGTTGTAGATAATGTGCATTAAATATCTGACCACGCCCTAAACTGTAACACCTTTATTATCGCAAGTTAGCAATCCAGCCAAATCAAAAGTCAGGAATGAAGTTGAACGATCGATTTGGAATGTTATCAGTTTGTCGAGAAACGTTGGACTTAAGTAGACTGAGGATGCATGGAACGGTGACCAGAGTATGAACTGATATGGATCCTTGACAAGGCACCTCGATTAAGTACGTTCGGCAAAACTTGTGAAGTCAGCATCAATATTGAAGATGTACTCGCCTATTTATTTTTGGACTTATATACAGCTAAGGCTCAGTGCCCCTAAGTGGGGCAGTAGTAACCCTGGGGTGTATCCAGTCAAAAGTTTAACCGAGCGCACTGTTGGCAAACACTATGTCCAGGAGCATCTGTTCATCTTTCTATAATATAAACAGCCATGTGGTACAACATTATCATCGAAAAATGTACGACGGAAATTTCGGTTCATCGTATCCGTCGTCGGTGTTCATCTTGTTCAGTTTTCCTAGAAAAAAGAGAGCTAAAACTGAAATTGCATGTCGAGATACGCTCATACTTGCGCAAGATCGCAAAAGGTTCCAAAATCTCGGTATACATGCGCATATATACCACGCGGCAGCAAAAAGAATTTGAAACAAAAGATTTTGCATCAAACAAAAAAATTACAAATATATGCAGTGACGTTCAAAAAAGCAACTTTTTTGCATTTCATGTTTTCGGTGTGACAAAAACCCAAAATATAGCCAAGTTGCTGTAGAGCACAGAAAAAGAGGCAAAACTAGAGCTTACAAAATCCCCTACATGTACCAGTCGTTTAAGTGTTTTTAAAACCTTGCAGTTCTTCCAGTCCTTGTCGTTTTATAGTTATAACACTTTATTTTCACCATTACCTTACAAAATTTAAAGGCAATGATTACGATCGTAATAACCATTATATTTAAGTATAAGGATGGGTAGTCAAGTATTCACTCTAAAGAAATAACCTGGGTTCGGAAATTCATCACTCATCATGGCAAAACTTATTTCCATACTTTTTTCCATCTCGGAAAAACTTGGAATCACATAACATCGTACATGAGTGCGTGTTCCGTGCACAGAAGTACTGCCTCCTTACACACTAAAAAAATTTTTTAGGTGCTGAGTCACACAATTAACCAATAAACGACACGCGCCCATGATGTGCCTAACTGCAAAAACTTTCTTAAAATTTTCGATAATTAGCGACACCTATGACCGATTAAGCATGTACTCTTGTAGGGTGGATAACAACCCTGTTCTATAGTGGTGCTGGGAAATATAACAACCCTCCTATAATATGCATACTAACATCAATTAAGCAAAGGATTAGTTTGTGCGGTACGTTTGAAGTTTGCGTTGCGATAACACTATCTAATATATATTGATTGTATATCGTTGAGTCCTAGTTTATAACTCTTACATAGCTTTAGAATTCATACTTTAAGCAATATGGGTCGACTGTCAAGAAAACGAGCACGGAAAAGTCCTAACTCTTCAGATATTAACAATTCTGTTATTACCTATTCTTCTTGCTCCGCTACTCCTTTTGTATCTGATAATGTTGGGACTGGTCTTTCACCACACGTGCTGCTGGACGACTCTGTTTCTAATTTAGTGATGGGTTCCACCTCAAGATCAAAAAGGATCGATGATATGAAGAGTGAATTAAACAGTCTGTTTAAGCAACTAAGCGACATGCGTTCTAAAGTCGAGTCACTTTCTAGCTCTTTATCAAAGCATGATGATCTTAAGCAAGAACTAAAGACACTATCACCTTTAAAACTGCTTTTGTCAAAAGACGTCGTTCCTGCGGAACTTGATGACATCATAAAAGCAGAATCTGTTATCGATTTTATCGCTAGTGAAGTTACCAAGCGAATAGTCTCTCGTAATAACGTGATTGTCTATAATATACCTGACAAAGTCTCCATTAAAACTGTAAGGAATTCGATATTAAAAGCATCTAACCTTCAAGACAGTCCATGCCAATGCATCCGACTTACTAAGAAGCACCAGAAATACTCGTGCCCGGTCTTGTTCAGGTTTGATTCTCATATATTAGCTGAACAGTTAAAAGAATCTGAGCGGCTGATATGCGCGCTTACGAAGTTTAGAAACGCTCGCATAGTCTCAGATAAGACCACCAATCAAAGACTTACGCAAAAGCGTACCGTGAACGAAAATATAGATGTTGAGATCATAAAAAATCACGACGCATCAGCTGCGGGATCCACTGATACTGATACCCTATCTCATGTTCTCCAGTACTCTGATCTGCCAACGAAGAGTGCTAACTTACCTATTATGCCTGTAGTGACATCTGATAAGCAATGTACATCTACTGATTACACTAATCCGATAGTATCCAATTTACCATTAGAAGCCCATAAGCAAATACCTAGTCCTAATGCGACAGCTCTTAAAAACACTGTCAAGATTAAAAAGTCTATGCCACGTAAGAAGAATGTTTGTACAGAACCTTCTGGTTCTAGACCCAATAATAAAAGTATTACGATGGCCCTATTCAATACAAATAAGACTAAACTACCCGACACCATGCTTTACCCAACGCATCGTAGGGGAGGATATAAGGGCAGACCTGGTTCAAATGTCTCACAAGACGGCCACTTCAATCGTTATGTAAGTAGGCCTAATACTGGACAGACCACAGTAAACCAACGAGCCTCACGAGTACCCTCAAACGCTTTAAATGATAAACCTGTAAGACGTAACCTCTCTCAACACTTTCCCATTAGGCAAGATGGATTACTAGGTTACCCAACATCAAACTTTTCAAATAATATACCAGTAACACATAACTTTTCTCAACACTTTCCCATTGGGCAAGATGGATTACTGGGTTACTCACCATCAACCCAACCTTGTCTTAACTGTCCGCCTAGTCAAGTTCAACAAATTAATCCGCTTTATCAAAATAATGATTTTTTTGGCCTTCAGAAATCCCTGGTCCCACTAGCACTACAGTTTGCTCAAGCGATCGCCCATGTGATCAGCCAAACATAATAAACCACAGTCTATGCAAATCCAAAATACACGACATCAATAGGGAAGCTCTCGGTTTTTTTACACTCCATACGCCCTTTCTAAATCTATTACTTATCAATGCACGTTCACTTCTGAACAAAATTTCAGCCTTGAGAACATTAGCCTTTCTATCCAAGCCTTCTTTCATACTTATCACTGAAACATGGTGCTCTCACGCAGTATCTGACTCAGAATTAAATATCCAAAACTATAGACTCTATCGCTGTGACAGAGAAACTAAGCGAGGAGGTGGTTGTATTATATATGCTTTGGATACCCTAACAACTAATAGAGTTGAAGATAGTGTCCTGAATAGTTTACCAGAATCAGTCTGGATATCTGTCAACACCCTGAATCATAGTCTACTCCTTGGATGTATATACAGAGCTCCTGAGAGCTCAAATAATGGGAATAATCTTATTATCAATGCATTCATACATGCATCTGCTCTAAACTTCAATGCTAAGGTTATCACTGGTGATTTCAATTATCCTGGGATTAACTGGAGTACCGGTAGCTGTCAGTCATGTAATGAGGAGTTCTCGGCAACCATTAACATGCACTGTTGGTCACAGTGGGTTCGTACCCCAACTAGAGGTGATAGTATACTCGATCTAATATTTAGTAGAGATATTATCCCACTGTCTGTAAAGGTATACGATGAATTTGAAAGCAGTGACCATAAGACAGTAGTATGCTCTCTCCCTATATATCCCTCTTCTAACCGACCCATTCAAAAAACCTGTCAATATAGAGACTTTAAGCATGCCGACTGGGACCTCCTGCATTCACTGATTAAACTTTCAGACTGGGATAACTTTTTTTCATGTACTAATCTCATAGATACTATCGACGAGTTCTATTTGATCGTTAACTCTTGTTTAGATTCTTCTGTACCTCTTAAAACGTACAGGTTTATTAAACCTTACGAGTTATATATACCAGCTAAATATCGTAATAAACTAAGACGCCTACAGAATCGTTATTTCAAGTCAAACGACTTCACGGCAGCTGCGCAAACAACAATAATTTTTAATCAAATTAAAGAGACACATAGGTTAAAAGCCATTAATGAGGAGATACTAGCACTTAATAGTAACTCAAAAATACAAAACTTAACTCTACTTCTCAATAAACGCGCTAAAGTAACTCAAAATGTTGATATACCATGCATCCAGCATAATAACACTTTTATATACGACTCTAAAACTATGGCAGACCTTTTCAGTGCTACTTTTGCGAATGATGTAGGAACCACAAGTGGCTCTGCTTCAAGAGTTACGTGCGTGACCAGCAACTACATAAAGTCTATCTCCTTCACATGTAAGAAAATTAATATGGCTATAAATGCCCTTAAGCTTTCGCGCGGTCATGGAGCAGACGGGATTCCATCCTTTCTCTACAAATACGGTGGTCCAGATATTCCACTTCTTCTTCTAAAGCTGTTTACTCTCTCTATGGAAACTGGTTCTTACCCTTACTGTTGGAAAACCGCGTACATCATACCACGTTATAAATCTGGAGATAAGACTGACATGAACAATTATCGGCCAATAAATATTACTCCAGTGATCTCTAGGATTATGGAGAAAATTGTAAGTGATGAACTTTCCAACTATTTATTCGCTGGAAACTTTATCAATGATACTCAACATGGATTTCTCAAAAATCGATCTTGCATGACATGTCATTTCGACTTCTTTAATTTAGTCTACTCTCTACGTAGCCAAGGATATCTAGTCTTAGTGCTATATCTGGACATTTCTAAGGCCTTTGACATGGTTAACCACCAACTTCTTATAGGCAAACTTGCATCTTATGGGGTTCAAAATCCTTTGCTAGATTGGATTGATTCATTTCTCAGCAATCGACATCAAATAGTTAAAATTAACTCTTCATTGTCTAACGCTGTCCCCGTTAGAAGTGGTGTAATACAAGGTAGTGTCTTAGGCCCTTTGCTCTTTTTAGTGTTTATCAATGACATTTGCGAAAATTTTTGTGTAGGTAAGCCCCTTCTATATGCAGATGATCTTAAACTAGTATATTCATTTTCTCCACATGAGCTGGAAAATGTGCAAACTTGCATTAACTTGGAGCTTAACAAGGTAGCACAGTGGTGCTTAAAATGGCAACTGGAACTTAATACAGCTAAATGTGGATGGATATGCTTCGGCGATACATCACTTAACCTAGACCTTACCATAAATGGAGAAATGTTAACTAGGTTACATACAGTAGTAGACTTAGGACTTAGATACTCCCAAGACTTATCGCTTACAGAACAGATATCGAAACAGACCTCCAAGTCACAACGACTAGTAGGTTACATAATTCGAAACCTTCATAACAATGAATCACGAATTTTAATGTACAAAGTTTGTGTTCGACCTCTTCTAGAATATTGCACGTTTATTCTTAGCAGTGCGCGCATAAAGGATAAATTAAGGCTGGAATCAGTACAGAGACGATTTACACTTCGTATTCTTGGAGCTGATTGTTCCTTAACTTATAATTCTAGATGTAAAAAACTAGAGCTAGACCCTTTATGGAAGAGGAGACTCAAACTAAATCTTATTTTTTTCTTCAAACTACTTAATAAATTATCCTTTACATCCAATCATGTAATTCAATATGCAGAGACTCCTCATTATGAAACCCGTAATTCCTTGGCACTTGTGAAACAAACTTATTCTAAATCATCTCTTTATATGAATTACTTTGCCTGTAAATTTTCTAGACTCTGGAATAACCTACCAGAACATATCCGTACGATTAAATCACTCCCATTATTTGTACGTTGCATCGATGCATATTGCTCCTCCGAAAATGCATTGAATGCTCTAGCACCCGCAAGTGTATCTCACTCCACAAGTGTTATTATAGGAACTTTAAATGTTTAGGCATTTTTATTAGTGCATTCTCTGGATAAAACCACCTACTCGCTGTCACTTTATGTTAATACCGTCCCCAGCTAGTTTAACTAATTTGAATATCATCAGCAGTATATCACTGTGTCACATGACATACGCATTTTGATAGATCTGTTTGACATATTTCGGTAATTACTGCTTTGTTGTTCCGTGCTCTCTGTTTTCGTTTTAATTTCTCTAGTTGTAGATATTTATCATTAAATCGATCTGGCACACGAAATGACCTTAATTACATCGTTTATAAATCAACAGACAGTCCAGTTAAGAAATATTACATGTTCCCGGCTGATACATTGGATCGCTGTAATACCCAAACAATTACTGAACTAGTAAACTTAAAACTCATAAAACATGTTCGTTCTGTACATATAATGATATTATTTATATCAAATTGATCATGCCTGAAAACTGGCGTGAATTCTGTAATCATAATTTTTTCAGAATATAAGTTATTATTATTATTATTATTATAAAACTTCGAATATGTGTCTGGCCCTATAAAGAATATTAAATACTAGGACCCAACTTTGGTCCTCTTCATTGTCTGATAACTTCATGTTTTCATGATTTTGGACAGCGGATGTTTTTGAAGGTTATAAAAGGCAGCCACCACGGACTCAAGTTAGTGTATTTATCAGAGTTAAATGATAAATCTATCTTCTAAGTTGCTTTCCTATCTGATGCATATTCGTTGTCAAGATGTCTACACCATTTTATTCCCATACAGATTACCAGTATGTTCTGCTGGACCAAATATTGATGCGAAACAAAATATTTATTGATTATAAATGTGAGTTTTCATTTTGTATTCAACTGTTTTATAAGAATAGTCGAACAATTCATCATGTATTTATTAAAATTTAGATTCTTCTTTACCTTTGACACTAAGATAACTCAAGAGGCCGGCAGGTAAACACCTTAAGTCGTACAGATCATGGAAAAATTGTACCTCATCATTATGGTGTTAAATAGTCCATTCACAGCATTTTCCCAGATATCCATGTATATGTTTCCCACATTCCATCCTCTTATCACCTCCCATTCTTCCGCAGAGGACACATATAATAATTCATGTATGACAGTTTGTGGAAAGACAGAAAATGCTACCGGAATCAAATAACATACTATTCTAGGATAAAATATATATACATTAACCATGAATGATAAACAAGCGATATTCGTCATCGGTTGTGAAAGTGAAAAATTAAAACACTGGACGACTTGCACTGATTCTCCATACGACTGAAGAAATCTACATGTTTCTATTCTTCAGGATGATCAAACGGAAATCGCTACGAATATTTTGAAGCACTCATGCCGTCTGGCTCCGAATACGGTGAGAATGAGAGGCAGCTCAAATGTAGGCAGATAAAAAACCAACAAAACGATCGTGAACAGTAGTCAGTAGAAAAAGTGGAAGAGATCGCAAAGACCACAGAGTTAGGTAACAGTGGATAACTGTTCAAACTTATAAAGCAAACGGGCATTACAAATCCGGCTGTTGGTGAAACTATCTCGGAAAAAGATGGGACTATTATTCACACTTAGTCCAGGAGGTTGAGCTAATGGGCAAAACACTTTAGGGAAGAGTTCAACTGGCCTTCAACCGCAATTCAGTTGCCCGCTACATCCAAACAACATGAATAGCAAACTGATGTATGTCCTTCAAATCTAAGTAAGGCTGAAAAGGTTATACGTAGTCTAAAGTGAGGAAGAAAGGCATGGCCTGGGGTACCAACCCCTAGGATTTTTAAAAATAGTGGTCCAGTTTCAGCGGTTAGATTGACTGAGATCTTGGCTAAACTCTAGGAAATGGACGTAATCCCCTCCAACTGGTTTCAATCCCTGATCGCCCTAGTTTTTGAGAAAGAACAGTAATCTTGTGACAATCACTGAGAAGTCAGTTTAAATAATATGGTGTCCAGAATATTGACCTCAACAATAGTTCAACATTTAACCAGATTTCTTGAAGAGCAAACCCGTGGAAACCAGGCTGGTTTCGGAAATGGATATGGATGTATAGACTAAATATCCACTTTTTGGCAGGTTCTGGAACATAGACACTTTTTAACGTCCAACTATGGTAATATGCCTTGACCTTAAGGTGGCGTTCGACGCCGTTGACAGTGAGGTTCTACGTAAGTCTGTTATTGAAAGGCGTACCAAAGAAGTACGTTAACCTTGCATAGGCTCTCTATCCAAACACTATTGGCCGAGTCAAAGCATATGATGAATCGTCATTGCCAGCCTACCTCGATGGACGATGTTTTCTGGTGTAGGAGCAGGCTAGAAGAAAGTTAGGGATGACCAAACTATAAAGACACTGATAACCGAACCGCGCCATGTTAACACGTGGTTGTGGCTTGTAACCGATGGTTGGGACTTTGAATAGCGTGGCTCAAAATCGTTTGCCATGGCGCAGATGCATCCGTTCTCCGTCTTCCGCAAAATTCTGAGATTCTAAACTCAACTGTTGTTTTTATTCCACTAATTTATATTTACTCAAGTCGTATCTTCGATGCCTGATCTTTCCCAATAACACTGAAACTGTTACTACTATTCTGTGCTGACGGGGTATGGCAACTTGAACCAATGTACATACGTACAAAGTTACTAGTTATACAGATTGAAAATCTCAAGTAAGTCGATTCCCGGGAGGCAAAATTCGACGAGTCGTATGATTAATTTTGGCCGAAAGGACCTTGTTTATGTTGAGACGTTATCGTTCAAATATTTATTTACTTCATAATATACTTCATAATATTTGTCAGATTACTTCCTCTGTTGAGAAACTTGTTTGTTTGAAATCGGAAACTCGATCTTCAACTGTTCTGCTTCACGGTCTGAATCAATTCCTACGGTAACCTTCAGCACTAAAGCCAGTTCTTGGGTACCAGACAATTTTCATCTTGGTCGTCAACTACAGGAGTATACTCCACGTTCGTAAGAATTATGTCGTTTGATTAATGAGTCGGAATGTCATCAAGCTTTAGGTTTCCTTCTATTTAAACCAGGTTTCGACGACCGATGCCCATTTTTCTGCTAGTTCCGTTTTTATCAGCGATACACTACTTGGTTTTGTGATTGCAAGCAGTTTGTAGGGGTTTGGTTGACGAGTCCCTATAAACGAAAACGCGTTTATTAATTCATAAGGCTGTTTAGATGAAAAAAATAATCAGTTGCGCTCACGTGAGAGCAGGCTTAACTGGAACAATCGCTTTTGCAAAGTGTCCCGTCTAGAAGTTTAGGTTCTCACTAAATCAACGGAATGAAGTATGTATGTACCCTCTTGGGAGTCTCAGCACTGTATCGTAAATGAGTTTTGCTTCAGTGTAACCAACACTAGTTTTAACTGCAAAGTTGATTTCGTGTACAAGTAGAAATCCGTCAGCTAGTTGTAATATACTTACAAGGGAAAGCGAAGCCTTAAAATACCGTTCAAATCGTTGTGCATTTGTCAACATATGAATATCAAATAAATACGATCTTCTGTGAAAGTCACATCATTATCTATACTGACTCGTCATATTGTCACATTCACTAAAATAGCGTTGAAGACTGCTAAAGAACGCAAGAGCATGGGGTAAGATAGTATATTTAATATGAAACAGAGTAAATTACGTACGGTTTCACATTAGCTTTCTTGATTTCAACAACTCATAATCATTTCATTTTGAATAAGTCGATCTCTGACTTATTCAAGACTCAATATCTGAAATTCATTTTTACGAACCATCAACCACGATGTATGAACATTAACAATTGCTTCACTGCTCATGAAAGTATTAGTTTTGGAATGTGCCTCTTACAAATGCACTTACGTTCAACATATTACCGTCAGCAACCTGTTCGAAATTCATATAGTTATCAGTATTTTCACGTACTGTCAGACTTTTTGACGATAATTCGTGTCTATCAGTAGTAGTAGTAATAAATTCACTGACAGTTAAGCAGAGATGAGGTCGAGAAAATCTCCCCATAACTAAGTGAACAGCTTTAAGCTTGACAAACTGAAGGGATCACGAGTCAGAATACTTTCATACCCTTGTTATACTTCTGTTCTGCCAGTAGGCCTACAAATACATATGCAATTGAAAATCGACACATATGGAAAGCACACCGACATAAACATTAACTAACGTTCTAATATGAATCAAAGATACTGCAAATATCAGCATTTATACAATATTGGTTGTTCTTCTTCTTATGAACAGAAAATACTTGTACTGCCCATAGGTAAAGCTATTAACCAACGACTATTGTTAAGTGTCTTAACGTTACTTGTTGAAAGATCTCTTCGCTTAATCATCCTTAATTATTATAATCCTACTTTGGTTAACTTTTGAGTAATTTTCACGTGGATTTTCACCTTGAGTGTGCTAAGAACAAAATCAAACACTTTGGAATTGCTACGTGTATTTCCCTATCATTTGCTGCTGCCTTAATTTTACTTTATCCTTCAGTTAACAATACTCGGATGATTCTTATTATTCTCCTGATAACCTTCGGTGCGCGACGATCGCACCTGCCTTGGTATCAAACCAACATCACATTGATTCTATTGGGAGGGTATTGTGGTGGTATTGGTTCCTAACCATACGATCTTCGGAGAAGAGAATAGGATTATCGAGAAAGTTCAGATTTCGTATGTAACACTTGAAGAAGGTCTGAAATGGTGAGCTCGGGAACAATTGGTTGCTACGGCATGGCTCAGCCTTGTGCATGAAACCGCTCTATGTTACCTATACCTTTCCACAATCGATATATATTGTTATGTGACGAGTCCAGACATGCTCTTCAAAAGTGCTAACTTTCATATTACTGGCTGCCAACAGAAGACAAGTCAGTATAGACAATGATGTGACTCCCACAAAAGATCTTATAGATTGAGTAATCACATGAAGACACATCTATAACGTTGCCATTAGTTCTATTATTCAATTCGCTAGGGTAACCGTTGTAACGTCGATCAATACCTTAACACTACAACTACACCTGCGCCGCTATTTCTTAGGTTCCATGTGGTTTAAATTTTTTACGCGGATCCTCTCAATAATCGTATGTTAAGCACTAAGTATCGTGTGGTTGAGAAACAATACCACAACAATTTTCTCTCAAAGTATACTGTAGGTGAGTTTTCCTCATTAGTACTGTAGTGATAAATAAATCCCAAAAATATATAGCTCTGTAATTTTTCAACATAGGATGGGCCCTTCAAAGTTCTTCAGCGCTAATCTATGTACTAACGATAACATCAGCATCGAATACATCAAAACAGTGTATTTAGAAGGAAACCATATCCACGTTGATTTGCCTTCAGCGAAACCGAAAGACACGACTCCTACACTTAGGATACCTCATCTGATAGCCAACAATCACGATGATAATTTGGGATTATCTGAAAGCAGACTCAAATCAACGCATTCTGGGAGAAAAGTAAGGTTTCCAAAACTTTTGAACA